GACATATTTACTTTCTCATTTCCTTTTCAAGGAATATAGCCTAGAAAACAGTTGGATTGCTACTGCTCGTCTACAGCATCCCGAATGGCCATGGGCYATTACTAACATCCCGAAATCAATCCGAAAATATAGCAGTAAACTGAAAKACAMCSAACTTGAAGCYCATGTTCAAGACATCGCCAAACGCTTCCARAATGAAGTTCTTGATCGCCTCAAACCGTGTGATCTCCARCTAATYCACTCAGATTTGAACGAGCATAATACYATCGTTGAGCCCAATCCTGATGGCCAGATGGAAGTTAAAGGCTTTATTGACTTCAATGACWTRCAGTTCTCTTATASATTACTCTGCGTGGGGGTTGCGRTCGGATACCTCATGACAGAAGCTCGCAAGAAGAACTTTGACATAGTCCAAGCCTGCGGTCACTTGTTGGCAGGCTACCAATCAGAGTTCGCAGTAGAAGACTCAGACATGCGCAAGTTGTTGGTTACAGGCCAAGCTCGTATATGCCAGTCTTTAGTGCTTGGAGCTTATCAATGTGAAATGGACCCGGATAATATCTATTTGACTTACACTCATAAGTCTGGCCTGGAAGTCCTGGAAAGTCTCAAGTTAATACCAGAAAGTGAAATTGTGGAAAGTTGGAAAAACATCAGTTTACATGCCGGCATATAGAGTCCGGCATATAGAGTCCGGCATATCTTCGGGGAAAAGAAGTTAACAATACTTCGGGGTGGCATGGATGGCCTAGTGGTTAAGATACTGGCCTCTCACCGCTGTGGTCCGGGTTCGATTCCCGGGCACGGACCATATGTGAGTTTGAGTTTGTTTGATGTGTTGTTCTCTCCCTTGCCACGAGGGTTTTTCTGAGGGTCCTCCGGTTTTCCTCCCTCAGCAAAAATCAACATGTGAGGAGTGTTGTGTGCTAAAACACTTAATGTAGAGGTAGTGAGTGTGAGAGGAGGGCCACGAGTTTATCAGTCTTTGACTGTAATGTGCTACCCTCGTAAAATAAAGTTATAAAAAAAAATACTTAATTAAATATTCCTACATGACCGAATTGTGAAAGCTTTTACAATGAAATTGCATCATTATGTAATAAATATTGCTTAAAATAAATAAACAAAAATATCTYAAATTGAAGAAACCAGAAATTACATTGGTAACTCTATTACCCTTGGACTTCAATTCCAACGTGCCCGTTAGGTCGACCGCTGAATAGAGGGCGAGCAGGGTAAATAGATGTTAAAATTAGACAATAAATTAGCAATAATCTCAGTTGGATTTGCCAGTTTGGTCACTTGGATGAACCCTTTTTCACTTATCTGTCAAACTTGAAAAAGCGACCGTTTTCTCCAAGAACARGTTTAAAAAAAAAAACGATTAAAAAACTAGAGTTCGTGTTTTATTGGATACAAAGATTTGAATTGCTTTTTAAACCGTACATCATTTGATTACTGTGAAGGAACACACATCCAACCAACAAACAAATATTCCTATCAAACATGCTTTATTATTGAAGATATACCTTATATCAACCAGTGAACCATTCCGATATCATATGCATTCAGTATATCTCTTGCTTACTTTTATTGTTGTTTCAAGTAAACAACGTTTAGTAGGTAATATATTCATAATATACCTATCTGCAAATATAAAGTTACTCCACATTGCAAACTTCTTGGATTTCGTTAGCATAAGTCGCGCTCCAAATCCGTTCAAATTTCTTTCTAGAAAGTCTACAAAAAAAAACGAGAACAAATATAACTGAGAAAAAGGGTAAGAAACACTGAGGGAGTTCGTTCTCTATTGACCTTTTTCGAGTCGAATTGACCAGAGAAGGTCACGGAGAATGGAGGGCAGAGGAAAGAGTGAAAGTGATAATAAATGAAAAAGGAACGCATATAAAAGAGAATTTAAGAAAGATATTTCAATCCATGACATACCTTCTAGATACAATTTCATTCTCCAATTCCCTTGATTTATGCGAGGCAACTTCAAGAATATCCCTCGGGATTCCCGCAAGTCGAGCAACATTAAGCCCATAACTTCTTTCTGCAACACCCTCGACAAGSCGATACAAAAACGTTACTGATGGAAGACATTTTCCATTGTTCTCCRAAAGYGGAGCATCCTTTTCTGGAGACTGGTGATCACTATCTGATGACGTCATAAATGCCATGTGATTGTTAGTCACGTGGTCTGGATATATCTTCTGGACCTCAGCGATGTTGGGGTAGTGTGTTACAAATAGTGTCAGACTACCAATCTATTTCAAAGTGACAAAGAGATAATTGATTTAGTACTAGGTGACCTTCATCTTTGGAAAACAAAAAACAAAACCCTAAACTTTCAAATTCAAAAYAATCACCCTCATACTTAATGGTTTGCCTATTCTCTTGCCGATAACGGAAAAAATCATTCTAAATGAAATGTTAATCAAATACAAACTTAAGAAACCTGACCTTTTCAACGATGTGACGAAGAGTTGCGTACGCCACAGCGATCCCATCATGGGTACTAGTACCCCGTCCTAATTCATCCAAAATAACCAGGGATCGAGAAGTGGCCTGGTCAAGAATAAACGCTGCCTCCTAAAATTTGGGTAAAAAAAAAGAGGAAAACAAATAAAAAAGATAAGAAAATAATCATTGTGAACTTTAAAACAGTCTTTTTTATACATGTACAGGATAAGCCTTAATTCGGATTAGAAAATTCCAAATTATTTCCTTGTATTATTTTATTTTGGGAAAGGTCTTTTGCTTCAAAACAGCGACCACACGCCAAAAATATGAAAAGTGCATATCCATGGTATAACAATCATGACTTCAAACCAGCGTTCAAGATAGCTTTTTATCGGGCAACCCACAGTTTTAATGGGTAGCTATGGTAACCGTATCAACGTCACATTCCTACCACCCAAGAGAAGGAACACCTGAACGACTTTTGACTTAATAAGTGATTAGTTAGCAATTTTATTGTCTCAGAAGTTGGAATACATGTACTTTGAGACGTATACCAGTCGTTAGTATTTTAATATTAAAAGCAAGATGTTTACTTACGATGACGGCAATTTGGTGTAATCTTTTGATCGACAATGATCGAACAAAACTCTGAAAACTCAAGTCGGGTATCCCCCAGTGCGTTTCCATAGAATTAGTCATTATTTATGATTTCTATAGAATATTATTTGGGTCTCGTCAAGCAGTCAAGAATAAAAACAATTGTATTCAGTCCAATTTTATTGCTTATGACGGCAGTTTCAACAGTTTAGGTGTTTGAAAATCATACCTAAGCACATTTATACAACCCCAAGTGAAGGAACAGGAATTTAGGCGTACACCCCAAGAGAACGTCTGAACGCCTGAATTTATTCTTAGGACAGGAGTTTTTAAACTTAAAAGTACATTCATTTCAAGCCCCCATCAACGAATATTCTAGAAGCTTTTCCATAGTGAATAATTGGTAGCTGTTTATGTTTGCTATAGAAATTTGGTGGTGGGGGGTGGTTTCGAATGCAGTCAAGTAATAAAACCATTGTATAATCAGTCAATCGTTTTTCTGATTATTATCATTCGGGTATCGTCTAGCAAGTAATAAGGCTTGTAGTAGGTCGAGTTAAAACAAATTAGGGGATCCAAGGAAAGACGAATTGACTAAAAACAAGACAACAACTCATCACTCATGGTATACCGTAAATAATTGCTTGAAGTCCAACAAAATAAACATAAGCTACAAGATTCAAGATTTAAGAGATTCTCGGAATTTAATTCGCTACAAATTGCACGATGATTTTCTTGGGCAAAGACAACGAAAGACCGAAAAAGAAACTCATTCATGAAATAGTGTTTAGTGTTCAGGTTTTGGGGATCTTACTTTTGGCAGCTGCCGCAGCCGTATTTTTATCGAATCCAGCTTTTAACACTACGCCTCTGGTGTCTATGGAGGAAGGTTTCAATCTGAGATTTCCCAACTTTAACCCCAGTAGTAAGAGTACACCATGTCTGAAAATTTGCAAAGTTAATCAGATACCTGACCGAGCTGTAAAAAAATTTACCTCTTCATCGTTGGACAAATCTGACGTATTGTTTGTGCATTTTCATGGCAAAAGTCTATCGAGTCTTAAGCCTCCAGAAAACACGGACATTCTAGACCCTGTGAATCTTGTTTGGGTTGAAAGCATCACAGCACCATTCCTTTCGCTTGATTTGGACTTCAATGTTTATTCCTTGACGACTTTATGGCGAAAAGTACGAAATATGTCAATATTGGTAGATTTTGAGTCGTCCAAATGCTTACATAATATTAGTTACAGTTGCATGACAGCAAGTTTGGCCACAGCATTCCTAACTAACGTAAGTCATCAAAGAGGTGCTTTATGCTATGTTATCAAAGCTGATTTTGCGAAGTATAGATGTTGCACAAGAGACTTTCACACTAATGAAATCAAATGTGATGTTCCTGCGTCTATTAGCCCAAGTATGTCTGGAATTTTCAATGCAGTAGCGATTGTTGTAATAATTTTTTGTGTGTGTTTTCCGGCCATTTTCGTTAATAGTTTCCCAGACAAAGTCGACATTTCACAAACCATAAGCGCCAACACACAGATTCGTAATCCTCTGTATCGTATTGCAAACTTTGTTGTCCAGAAAATACAATCTTATTCTGCAAAACACGATTATGCAAATGTTGCAAAAAAACTGCTAATTGGTATTTCACTGCCCATATTGTTCTTTATTGACTGGGGTCTTGAAGTCTACACCGCGAAATACGACATACCAAAGATGTTTAATGATGCTGTCAGACAGAATTGGCAGAAAATTCATCGTCCTTATAAATTGCGTTCAATTGCTGTTTATGGTATATCTGTGTCAATAACTTCTTTCCTTCCACGAACTGAAAAACTTTTTTCCCATCTACCTGATAATTTAGAATCATCTTTACATGACTGCCTTGACATAATTCGCCAGATGGTAGAATATGAATTGAACTTGGCGATACCTTGCTCTTTAGCAAAAGAATGTCTCACTAAATGCTGTTTTGGCTTCAAAGGATTGCTTGACGATGACACTCTTGACGATGACACTTCACTTTGCTGGAGGATTAGTAAATTTTTATTCAGTTGTTTTCTAATATCGATCTTTCCAGTAATTACTGTAATGATTTTCATTGGCTATTTTTGGTACATCTCGCCTTTGGGCAGAACGTATGGTATATTATATTGCAATGCAATTATCTACTTCTATTGGTTTAGGTCCTGCTTGGAAAAAAAACTCATAAGAAATTCTTCCTGTATCTTAAGTAATTCATTTGGCCGTGTGTGTCGTGTAATAATTCTTTTAGTCTTGTCTCTCACTATTATTTCTTTTCTCATACACATAATTTCAATCTCCTTACTTTTAATCTCACGATTCATCATATATCTCTCCATGGGAATAGTGGCCAGTAAAGATGAATTTTTACCTATCATTGCACTCTTTTCCCTTATTGCATTCTACATTTGGAACTGCTTAAGCTCTGTTGAAAATATATACAAAGACCTTCTTGATCAAACATTCGACAAGTGCAAAGARTACCAAGAAGAGACCAAGCGAGAAATCATAAAAATAGATAACAAAGGTGTGCCAAGAATTGAGCCATTGAGTGACCTTTTTCAAAAAGTTGTCGACGAAATTCAGCCATTTAGCATGGCCTACACTAAGATGTGTCTAACGATCACAATYATTGGATGTTTTTTATGCTTGACTTATTATTCCATCTTGATATATGGCAACACCAGTTTAAACGATTTGACAAAAACTTTGGCTGTTACCTTGGCAGGGCTTATCCCAAGATTGATCGATATATTTCGTACCGGCACGCCCAAGGAGTTGATTGACAAAGAAAATGAATACATAGTCAGGAAGATAGTATACGACTTCTTTAGAGACAATGACAAAACTCATGCTGTAAAAGAAGTTGCAATTCAAACAGAAAATAACCCTCCAGACGTTAAGGTGAAGATTCGGCCTAAACAAAAAGAGACTATTAACAAAAGTCMCAGYAGTATTCCAGAGCAACAAAGCCATCATCTGTTAGTGCATGCTGATGTTAATACAAGATTGGCAGGTAGGTATAATGATACAAGCACWGAAACGACATCAGAACTTACATCACATCAGAGATCAACTCGAGGTTTTTTAACATGGCTCTAAAAACTGTGTAACGGTCAGAACTTGTTCACATGCTTCAAAAGGTGCATTAACACTAAATACAGACAGTATKYACCYCCTAWATATAACATATATGACACCTATTAYTATACACCAAACTATTAATGGACTATTACAAATCCAGCATTCTGATTGGCTACTGAACTATGGCATATTCATGTTATACAATGTTCGCATCAAATGAAACAAGAAGAGTCGAGAAATGTTGAAAAAAATTGTTCTTTATGGTCTTTTTTTCAAATTTGCTGCACAGTTTGGTTAAAAGAATTAGACCACTCGGTCTCGTAACCTTCGAGGTCCTCATGGACTATTTAAAAACTCGTATTCATGCAGAATCAGAAGCAGAAGAAAATGAAAACTGCACTCGGCCTCGTGGTCTTATTGTTAAGTATAAACATAACAAAACAAAAAACAAAACAAAAAACAAAACAAAACAAAAAACAAAAAACAAAAAAGCAAAACAAAACAAAACCCAAAAAAATGCATTAACATACTTGTAATTCAACCATAAATGTACTTCGTCCTTTGTAGATATTATCTGACGCTCCCATCCTAATATCACGCAAAGTAATYGTTAAAATGTTTACTTCCGCTAGTGACGTCATGTGTGTCTGGCACAAGTGCATCACGGTATTGATAAAGGTATCAAGATGGCGAATTTTAGGAATTTCGAAAGAACTTTTTTTTTGTCTCAGGAAGACCGACGAAAGGTTAGGCTGCCAATAAGACTAGACGTTATCACTTGTAGATGATATGGTTTAGAAAGACATAAAATATAGCTGTTTATCATATAATTATCTATGAAATACCTATATTTCTCCATTTCGTAAAATTGATATTTTCACTAGTGAAAATAACATGTTATTTTCACTAGTGAAAATATCACATCTGAAGTTTCTGTATTTAGTGGAAGTAAGAAAAAAAGGTATTTTACGACATAATTTGCTTCCATATGTAATTATATGATAAACAGAATATTACATGGTCGCTTGGAGATACGAATTTTATCTTCTCATGTTGAAAATCTCTACGCTCACCATTCTGAGATAAGTATAAGGATTATTGTTATCACAACAGCCTCAGACACACAACAACAACGTTTCACTTTGTAATTTTGTCAATCCCGTAAGTGCACCTTGTCCAAAATCACACGACGTCGTAAAATAAAAACCAAATTGTGGCTATGAATTACTGATTAGATTTAAAATAGTTTAATAGTATAATCGATGAAAGATTTTACGATGATGATTTATAAAAATACGTCATCATGATTAAGGTGTTTATAAGACATTTATAGTGACTAAGCAGGGGTGGATCCAGCTGGGGCGTGCAATTTGCACCCCGACTGGAGACATGGATACACCGTTCCGTTCTACGTGCAACGCTAGCTGAGCATGTTTATCTCGCGGTTTTATATAAAAGACGTCCATGGTTTTCCAAAAGTAATAACGTCATCAACTGCTTTCCCGGTAACATACACGTTTCTCCGGTGTAAACGTTAGGCTATCCGTATCATTTGTACGTGTATGGATAGGTTAATTGTAACCGAACACGGATATACGTTGTATCCTAAGGTCTCTATTTGTTTTGTTTTTACCCAGAAATAGTTCTGGATACACCAATGTAAAGCGAATAGGCCATGAATAATGTAAATATACAAAGCACAATTGACGAGTGGGATATCAAAAATATGCCACGAGAAACTATTATAGAACTCTATTTTCTAGTTATTATAAGTATAGGTAATAGCATGTTTTGTAGTGGTATTTGGGATAAATATTAATAGTGGCATTTCAAATTGCACAATTTTATTCAACCATTTTATAAACAAATAATAGCATGTTTAGGACGTGGAATTTGGGATAAATACCACGCGTCGTATTTATCCCAAATACCACTACAAAACATGCTTAAATACCAATCCAAAATGCACAATTTTATTCAACCATATTACAAACCATAGAACATACAACCAAATGGGCAATGTMAGCTGAATATACGGTTAACTCACGTTATAACGAACATCTTAGTGACCGCAATCAAGTGTCCACTATAGCGAGTGTCCCCTGACGTAAATGAGTTATCATAACTCCCTTATAACTTCTTTAGGGATTTAGGTGTCCGTATTAACGAGGCATCTGTAATATCGTGTCCAATAAAGCGCGAGTTGATTGTAATGACATTGAATTTACAATGGCTATCCTTCGCTCTGATCATCCGTGGTTGATCAGTGGTTGTATTTTCTATGTGAATAGCATTAAGGACTCTAGTCGCTAGCTCACCTTGTATAGATAGCATCTAGTGGCTTCAGTTTGACCTGGGTTGCTGGCACAAACGACCCAATCTGGGCCATGATAGCGATGAGAGCAACCTAAACATCATATGTAATCGACATTTATTTTTAGAGGCCGCGTTTTTGCACGCCATTTTGGAATGGGAATGACTGGAACACTTAACTTCTTGTATTCAATACATTCAATTCGATTTCGATAATTTAAAAATAATAATTGCAAAGATAATGTAGAGGCTTCTCGATAAGGTTAAACATGGCCATACAACCTACACCAGAGAACGTTTCCGAGCGATCCATACCAATGATTCCCATTCAGAATGGCGGGAAATTAGCTTATGACGCTCTATATTGCCATTATTTACTACTTCAAATAGTATTAGAGCGGATTTCGTATGAGTGGGAAACGGACGGTACTGTATTGTGTCCGTAATCGTACTGTAACCAAATTCTAGTGCCCCATTGTTTCACCAAAATTCTGCAGGCCAGGTGCGGTAACTGTGCGGTAACCGTGCGGTAACGGTGTCCCACTCATACGAAATCCGCTCTAT